CCACCAAGACTCCGTGAGCCAAACCCCCGCTCAACTCACTCTTTATCAAAGTCACCTTCACTGTGAAATCATCGCGAAGATTTCAAGGCTTTTCTTGCACTAAATCAGGAACAGAAAAGAAAAATCGAAAAACCCAAACCTGCTGCCTTAGAATCGATATCGACTCCCGGAGACCCGAAAGTATAAGCGCCGGCTGGTGGGGATTGAGGGACGGCGTATAAAAATGAAAAAACACGATGCCTTGCCGAACAACACACATCGCGCAGGCGTTTGACTCGCATCTACCTGGCGATATCGGTCTTGTTGTGATGTAATCTGAGCCCAGGAAAACTTCCAGGCATTTTGAAAATAAGCAAATACTCATCGAGATTTATGACCTCACCTGTAAAAGCTTACAGTCTGGGCCCACGTTGATGCGCAGCTGCCTTGAGACGGAGCTCATTCCACCCTGCTGCCTTTAGGGGAGATGCGAGCTCCGGAGCTCATCACGCCCACACCAACTCCCTGCGTTGCCCGCCTTCCACCAGCGCTGCTCGGTGCCACTGTTGCCTCTAGAATAAGGTGACCAGACGTCCTGCTTTTGGCGGGACAGTCGCGATTTTGGGCGTTTTAAAAAAGTCCCGATTTGGGGGAAGACTACACGACAAGCTAGGGGACGGTCTATTTGGTCCATATAGACCAAATTTTTCATCAAGAACACCCCCACCCCCACCCCCCTGGTCAACGGTGTCCTGCTTTAAATCTGGTCAGCCTACTCCAGACCAAAACTGTGACAACGAGAGGAATGCTGGGAAAGCCATGTGCCTCCGTTTCTGTTTTGTTTGGGTTTCACAATGGGCCGTTCCTTCGTTTCTGGAAGAAACAAGCAAACCGACAAGCAGAAACAGCTTAGAAAAGCCGTTCTCTTTGTGTCCCACGGGTGTATAGTTAACAGTAATTCTGAAACAAAGGTGTCTCTTATCACCATTTTCCACATGCAGCACCTGGATACCACGCACGGCCAGTGAAAGGGCAAAGCTGAGTGTGATAGGTTTATTGTGCCAACCTGGCCAATAGGAACATGTGGGGTTAATTAGGTCGCAGTTTGATTGGGGAGCAGAGACAAAAGGCTCTGTAAGCCTCCCCACCCCCTTGCTCTCTGGTGATCAGAGTGTGCTGGAGCCTGCTGCTGCGTTAGCTAGTTCTCTACCTCAAACTGTGAGCTATACTGCCTGTGGGCTCAGCCAACCCATGGATCGGGTCACTGGGGCTTGAGGCTGGTGGATCCTGTAACCTTGCATTGCTTGTATTCGATATCCCATATGGGCCTGCTTCACTAAGTTCCCCAGCTACTGAGTGCTGGTGACCCACCCTGCTGTTTGCTGCCTGTAGGCAGAATCTGCTTGCCTTGCCGGACGGAGGACTCCACTAACCGTCCCAGCAGCCTATGTGAGTTGAAGGACTTCCAATATATCAACTGTTCCACGGAAGTGAGTTGAACCGAACCTTCTGTACTGCTGTGTGGATTAATTAGCTGTTACGGTCCTCCTCCTTTTTGTGTCCCGGTTTTGTTTCTCTAGAAAAGCCTGCCTAACACACTGAGATTCTCATGTAGATACCCCTGCTGTCTGACCAGCTGCCCTACAGGACACAATTTTGTTCAGTTGTGCGTGTGTATCCTTAGCCCAGAAACCTTCTGCCCGTCTTGCAGTGTTTGTTGAATGGACCTGAGATTAACATGGACCAGAAATTGGCAAGGGAAGTGTTTCTGGTTCTTGAATGAAGAAAAGAGGAGAGGCCATTCAAGTGAGGAGCAGATTACATTGAGTGCCCTTCATTTACCTCCCCACACACTGCTATGGGGTCCATTTGGACTCCTAGTGTGGCTAGACTGTAAATCTTTTTTTTTTTTTTTGAGACTATAAATCTTAATGGGAGCAGACCACCTGAATTTTCTCCCAAGAAGAGGCTTTGGTAAGTTTGACTGTGGGCTTAGCAGCCCAATGTCTAACCCACAGCGCCACAAGAATTTCTTTTTACTTAGCTACATTTGGGATCATGAAAAGCAAGCGCTGATGGAACAGGGCTAAATTGCTTGGCTGCTAACCAAAAGGTCTTCGGTTTGAACCCACCAGCTGTTCCCTTGGAGGAAGATGAGGCAGTACACTTCCATAAAGAGTTACTACTTTGGAAACACTTTAAGGCAGTTCTACTCTGCCAGTAGAGGCACACTATTTTCAGTCCGATCACAGCAGGGTGTTTGGGGTTGGGATAATGAAACCATTCCTTGGTTTTTTGCTGTTAGTGGACATTGAGTGGCTTCCCACTGTGGGCAGCCTGTGTATGTAGGGTGGAACCCCAGAGGGCTTTCAAGGCTGACATTTTGGAAGCGGATCACAGGCTTGTTTTCCTAGTCCCTGTGGGGGTGGGTTCGGTCAGCTTTTCTTTGTTGAAATCATTTTATTGGGGGCTCGTACAATTCTTATCACACGCCAGCTTTTCCGTTGGAAGTTGAGTGCTTAACATTTGTGCCACCCAGTGGATCCACTCGGGGTCAACGAGTCGATGCTGGCTCAAAGCGACCCTACAGGAAGGGGCAGAATTGCCCCTGTGGGTTCTGAGATTCCTCCTCTTTCTGTCTCTCTCCTGCTGAGTGGCTTGTGGTTTCAAACGGCTGACCTTCCGCTTAGCAGTCGGGGCTCCAGCCCAGTGGATGACTCAGCATTTTTTACCGTGGATTTGTTTGTAATCTTAGGCTGTGTACAGAAGGCTTGACAATCACACCGTATAAAACAAGGTTTTTGCGGGACTTATTCCTAATCATAGAGCAGTGAGTGAGCCGTCGGCTGCTCAGCTGGCCTGGGGTTTCAGGATAGCCATTTAAGACTGGAAACCGGTTCCGTGAGTGTTGCTCTTGTACAGACATGGAATCATGCGATAAACACCAGTGCAGGGATGACTTTCAAATGTCCCCCCAGAGCGACACCATTTCCCTGGTGGAGAGACACTGGGCCTCAGCTTGTCCTGAGAGATGGAGCCATCCACTCCATCCCTCTTTTAGGTCTCTATTCATATTTAACACGTGAGAATCTGTAAACTGCGGCTGCGTGTGCTCTCTCTGTTTTTCCTGATCAACACTCCGTTTCTTCATTGTACCTTGGGACCGCCATCGGAAGGTGGGTCTGCATATGGTAGAGCCTGGGGCGTTAGCGGTGGATGCTGTTTAGCAAATTATTTCAGTAGAAGATTATTTGAGCAAAACGAACTCAGAAAAGGCACACAGAACACGCCGTCCTTTGTTACATAAATGCATGGTTCAGAGGAAAACGCAAGGGCACGGAAGGCAGCCAGGCAGGAATGAACGCCCTGTTCCGGTCATTCACGGACAACTTGTGCAAGTAACTCTGAGCCTTGCGTTCCTCGTCGTTAAAAGGGGACTGTGCCACTTGCAGGTCTGTGAAGAAGGTTCTAAATACAATATGTTACATTTTTTATGCAAACTCCAAAATGCACTGCCATCCCATTTCAACTCTTGGTGGGAACATCGAGGGTTTTCGGAACTGTGCATCTTCATGAAAGCAGACAGCGTCACAGTTCTCCTAAGGAGGGACTGGTAGACTTGAACTCCTGACCTGGTAGTTAGTAAGCCACGGCCTGGCCCACAGTGCCACCAGGCTCTTCACCTTTCCCATTGTGGGTGCTCAATAAATGGTCGCTCGTGTTAGCCTTCTAAATCCTTCTACCTGCTTTATACTACCGTATATATTCGGGTAAAAACCAAATTTTCCAGCACATTTTTAATGCAGTTTCGGTGGTACAATTAGGTGCCTCGGCGGATATTCGGGTCGGATTATACTCGAGTATATACGGTATATGATAAGTGGAATTTTTGATGGAAAAAGAATGTGAGCAATGTCTTAGTGATGCTAACATAGCCACACATCTCATTAAGGAGCCCTGGTGGTGCTGTGGGTTAAGCGTTGCGCTGCTAACCAGAAGGTTGGTTATTTGAACCTATTCTCATTGTGTTTTGCATCTGAGCTCTCTCTGCTTTCCCCAGATCTGAACCTTGGGAGCTAGTTGAACAAATGATGATACTCATATGTACAAGTTCTATCTAGTATTGCGTAGGGCTGTCGTATGTGAGAAAGTCCTACAGTGTACCAATTCCTCTAGGCTTGTTTAAATTAATATTTCAAGGATTTCTGAGAGCAAGGGTCCTCAAACTATAGCCACATGCGGCCTACCGAGGACATTTATCCAGCCCGCCGGGTGTTTTGGCTGCCACTGCCTGTCCTGCTTAGCAGCTGACTCGTCCAGTGTGCATAGGAATTTGTTCGTAGTTTTTTTAAAAAACTATAGTCCGGCCCTCCAATGGTCTGAGGGACAGTGAACTGGCCCCGTTTAAAAAGTTTGAGGACCCCTGTCCTAGAGGCACCAAACCCAAAACTTACTATAGTCACGTTGATTCCCACTCACGGTGACACTATAGAATGGTAGAACTGCCCAGGGCAGTTCCCAGACTGCCAGTCTCTATGGAAGCAGACTCCAAAGTGACAGTGCTCTGACGGCGTTAACATGCGCTGAGATTGCATGGCAATTTAAGAGATTCTGCCTTCGTTTCCATAGGACCCTAACTTTTGCCTGGAAGTCAAACCCTATCTGTATTTAGAAATAGTACAAGAAATACTTAGTAAAGAGGAGTCTGAAACTTTGATTAAGAAAAATAAGGCACTTTACCTGAACAAATCTCAAATGGATCCATTTTAAATGAAATTAAGTGGCACTTAACTGGTTTGCAAATCGGGACCTATTTATCTCAGTAAAATGATTAAAGTCTTGATTTATCCCTAAAATTGGCTTTATTATTACATGTAATTAGACTAGAAGGCAGTTAAAGACTTGTAGGTTCTCTCTATCCCTTTAAACTGCACTTTATACAGACAATAATTGAATATTGGATAAGATAACTTGATTTTCCAAAGAAATATGTTCCTAATATTTTCCTCTTTTTATTGCAGAAATTGAAACAAGTTGAAGAAATAAAAGAAGATCCTGAGAATAGATTACCTAAAATTTCCCTGGAGTCATTCAATACATTTAACAGCAATATCATGATTTTATTAGAAAAAGAGAAGAACTCTCTGAACAAGGCTGAAGGAAAAGAGAAAGAAAAATGAAGAGGCGTAGCTCAGACAGGCCTGGGATAGACAATATGGAATCTGAGTGATTCTTTATATGTAATAGCGTCTCTTCTTGTGCAAGTCAGGGTTCACATGATATATAAAGGCCTTCCTTCTCCACCACCCGCAGCTTAGTGAGCTGGGGATGGAGCACTTGAGAAACGTAAGGGGAAGGACAACGATGAACGATTACAACACCAGAGCCAACACTGTCACGTTCACAACCAGCAAGCGTGGAGCTTACGTCTCTGATGCAGTGATAAAAAACGGACTACACTTTGTCGTGTTTCCTGAGAATTCAGAGGAAACGCACAACACAGAAGTCTTAATTTTGCACTTTTCTTTGAATACTTGTACAGAAGCTGTAAATTTCTTTGGAAAGGAATTATATTTGTAGCAAAAAAATTTTTTAATGACAGCAATAAATTGATTCAGTGCTATGCTCTTGAAAGATGTACTAAGTTGTAGAAGTTGATGATAATATATTTTTTAATTTTTCCAGCTGAAGTTCCCGTTAAGTCCATTGTTTGTGGGTAACCCCGCATCGGGCCTGCTGAAAAGGGAGAGGGATCATTGTCATTTCCATCTCACAATCTAAATTTGACACCAATTCTAACTCTCATGCAATTTCAAAATTCCTGCCAGAGATTCAGGCTCTAGCAATAAGCATCATTCTGCTTCTCCTGAAACAGATGAAGAGGGGTGCTGGGTATTGATTGGGGGAGGCCGGGTGTCAGAAGTGGTCTATTTCCAAGAGCAGCGCTTCTTCCAAGCATGTCCTTACATCTTCTCCCACTTTGTGCTTCTCTGTGATTTTGTAAACATCGTTGATTTTTATCTTCCTGATTGTTTTACTAAAATCTTAAGGAGTCTAGAAAGTAGATTCCTCCTTGCAATCCTCACTTAAAAAAAATAACACGAATGGTCGGTGCTACAAAAGAGATTACTTTTAATATCCTTTTTTCTACAAAGAATGTTTATATGTAAGGATAAATTCTATTTCAAAGGTTAGGTGTATTTTTTCGAGATGTGGACTATTTATAATTGCTTTTGTACAGGAGCTTGTAAATTAGAATAGAGATATTTTTTAGGATCTATATGGTTCCTTTGGCACACGTCTGTTTCCTTACAGAGTATCATACCAGGGCGATCAGTGTTACTTGGTTAATTTGTACAACTTGTTGTATTTGAATTGTTATCTGAAACGAAAATGATGTAAAGTTCAGTGTCCTTCACACAACGAAATCCTTCGTTTCATTTCTGAATAAAAATTGTATCACAATTGTACGCTCTGAAAGCTGGACCGAACGCGTTAAAAGACCCGTGGGCCCGTCAGTTCTTTGAACAGTGACTCACGCAGGCACTGGTGATGAGATCCCCGCGGAGCACATAAATGGGCCCTGCGCACCCGCGATGGTAATTCAGCCAATTGTCAGATCAGACTCTGCCAACAGGCGAGTTATGGTCAAAGCATTTCAGTCTCCCCGAGGGGTTAACCAACTAGAAATGAAAGAAGGGGGAGGAGGCGAGGGGAAAGTAGGCGCTCCAGGCAGATAGAGAATGATCTCAGTAAAGAAATGGCAAGGAAGTCATTGAATCCCATTTCCAGACCTGCTAACAGGGTGGGAAAATAAATGATCAGCAGCCTGGCCTGAGAAAGCTGCCCCCATGAGGAGGTCGGAGACGGAGGAGCAGAGAGGCGAAGTATTTGAGGCGAGTTCCCCAGACACGGACCCCCGCCCCCTCCAGGGAATTTGAAGTCAAGGATGCGGAACGCGCCGCTTTGGGGGCGGGGGCAGGAAGGCGCACGGCGGGGCCCGCGGGCTCGGGCACCACCTGCTGCAAGGCTGGGCGAGCAAGCGAACGTGGCCGCGGGGTCCCTGCGAGTCCGCAAGGTGAGTTGCGGGTCCCGGGTGGCGGGAGGAAGGGCCGTGGGGGAGGGGCTCGGAAGGCCACGTCTGAAGGCCCGCGAGCCCTGGACTGGGATTGCGCCGGGCGGGAGCAGATGCAGGAGTGGATACTAAGAACCCGTGACTTTGGGGACAAGATGGAGCTGTCCGGCGTTTTGGAGGGAGGGAGTGGAGGCGAGCGGTCTCGTTTTCTGGTGGGGGCTTGTGGCGATCGTTCGGGGTTGCCCCCTCCCTCCTAAACCAGGCGACCAGGATGGGTGTCAACGCACCTTCCGGCGGTGCACGCAGGCCAGCGAGGGTGACGGCCGGGCAGGGTCCCCCCCACCCGCCACCCCCCTGACAGCGGACGCGGAGCCACAGTGGCACAGGGGCTTCTTGGTGAAGGCGTAGCCGCACCGCCCGCTCTAGGGAGCATGCAGGTGCGCAACGTTGCCTGCGCCCCATACTCCGCCGCCTCCCTCCCGCCTGGTGCCCGGGACGCTGCGCCTCCGCTGCCAGCTGCTCCGCAGTCTGGGCTAGTAGACCCGGGTCCCCGCCGTGGGGGACTCGCCCACCCCGAGGGTCCCAGAGGACCCAGGGGCGTGCCGGAGGGCCAACCCCGCACGCGCGCTCCCTCGCCTCCACCCCGCAGGTCCCCGCAGCAATCGCCACGCTTCCCACGACTCCCTTCGAACCCGGCCTCCTCTCGCGCGGGCGCCCCTTTCTCGGGGACTTGCGGGGGGCGGGGGGGGCTGGGAGGGGCCAGAAGCAGGAAGGGGGTGGGGACTTGGAGAGACCGACTTGCCCGCCAGCTCGCCGCCCCCTCCCGAAGCAGGCAGCAGTCACGTGGTGCCTGGAGCGGGAGGTGGGAGAAGAGGAGAGACTTTTTTGGGTGCGCTGGCTCGCCAGTAGTTCCCTTTGGTCTCAGTCACCAACTCCGGGAGCGCGAGCCGGCAGAGGCGCCCGCAGCCCCGGAGCAGGCGATGCAGACGCCGCCGGCGGCACCTGCGGCTCCTCTCGGCGGCGACCGTCGCCTCGGCGGCACCAGCGCGACCCCCAGCAGTCTAGGCGGCCACAGCCATTGCGGCTCGGGCAGCCACCGCAGACGCCGCCGCCGCCGCCTCTGATGCGCCCTCCCGCTGCGGGCCCCGCGGCTTCAGGAGGATGTGGGTCCTCGGCCTCGCGGCAACTTTTTGCGGATTGGTCTTCCCCGCAGGTAGGAAAGCGGCCCCGGCGGGCCAGCGGCGGAGCCGGGCGCGCTCAGCCCACCCCGGGACCCCGCGCGGCTGCCCCGCGGAGTTTGCCCGGTGCCCGCGGGCGCTGGGCCGCCAAAGTCTGGGAGTCCCGCGGTTTGCCCGACTCCGGCGGCAGCTGCGCCCCGGGGAAAGGGCGCAGGGAGGGTCCGAGCCGTGCTGGGCCTCCACGCGGGACGGGCACCGGCCCCCACCCTGGACCCGTCCAGGTGCCCGGCGTGGCCGGCTACGCGTGGGAGTGGCGCCGCCGACAGGTGAGCGGCGCCCAGAGCAGCCCGAGACGGCGGCGCCCCGGGGGCGCCCGACGTGGAGCCGGAGAGAAGCGCGCCGGGGTCGGGGCGTTTGGCCGCTCGGGCCCAAGCGGGGGTCTGGTACGTCGGGACGGACGCCCGGAGACCGGAGCAAAGCATCGGGCTGACTCGTGGGCGAGGGGCGCTCGGCCCGCTTTCTCTCCCGGCGGGGGTCCACGTCCAGACGGACTTCCGAGGGCGCAGGACCACCAGCCGCGAACCGGGGCCGGAATGGCGGGCCTGCGGGGAGAGGTGGCGCGATCGGGACGCGCGGTGCGGGCGTGCGCTCGTGCCCGCCAGCCCCCGCCCTTCGCGGCCACCCCCGCCGCCTCCGAGGCGTCGCGGGGGTGGGGGGACCGCGGAACCTCGCCTTGGGACCTCGGGCGCGGGAGCCCCCTGCGTCTGGCGGCGCCTCTCCGTTTCCGGAGAACGCTGGCTGGGATTTTTAAAATAAAAGCAGAGAGGGCGGCTGCGAACGCCATGGTGGGTGGTGCCCAAATAGTAATTAAGCAATTTGTAACTAATCAGTTAGGCGAATCCTTTGGTATAGACGCTCTCGACGCGCTTCTCGGAAGCGACTTCGTTCGTGAGAGTTGCCTTCCCCTCCTTTTAAACTTCCTTGGGAAAGGGTGGGTGGTTGGACGAGCTCTTTGTTGGTCCCGGAGCGGAGGCCGAATTCCACTCTTATCCGGCTGGGTGCTCGGTGGCCGCGCAGCCCCCTGCCGGCCTCGCCAGCACCCAGGCCCTGGCAGGCGACCCTGGCTTCCCAGAGGCCGGGGCGGCCGCGCGCTGGGACTGGAGCGGCTCCTGGTTTGAGGTGGGCTCTGTGGGGGCCTGTCTGAGCCCAGCTGTGTCTGTCCTGCAGGCTTCGCGCTGCAAATCCAGTGTTACCAGTGTGAAGAATTCCAACTGAACAATGACTGCTCATCTCCGGAGTTCATTGTGAATTGCACGGTGAACGTTCAAGACATGTGTCAGAAAGAAGTGATGGAGCAAAGTGCCGGTAAGATTCCCGCAGCTCGCTCGCTCTCTCTCTCTCTCTCTCTCTCTCTCTCTCTCTCTCTCTCTCTCTCACTCAGCTCTTTGGAAGGCTGTGGGTGGTAGGAGGGAGAGGGTCATTAAATTACAGGAAAGGCACTGGCTTTGACTTAATGCGCACACACTGGTTATCACAGATTTACAGTGCTGGGAAAATGGAGAGTTCCAAGTTATTTTCATCTCATTAGAGTTAATTACCGGGGCTTCTCCCCAAGGGACTTTGGAGGGGAAGTGCATTTAAATGAGAGGCTTTCCTCTCTTTATTTACTCTTTTCTCCTTCCTATGCTAAAAGCTGACCAGAGGGCTAGAAACGATATGGAGAATCAGCCCTGGGATGGGCACCTAGCTAGGCTGTTGTGTGTGAGCAATCGCAGCTTGAAATACAGAGCTAGTTGGAGTTCCCAGAGAGCGGAGCTTGAGAAATGTGTTTTGTCATCGAGGCACACCATATTTCTTTGAACAACACTACAGGATCAGCGCCTCATGGTGAAACCATGCACCTGTATGCAGTTTAAATGTTGTTGCTCTGACCGGGTGAAACCATGCACCTGTATGCAGTTTAAATGCTCTTACTCTGACTGGGTGAAACCATGCACCTGTATGCAGTTTAAATGTTGTTGCTCTGACCGGATGAAACTGTGCACCTGTATGCAGTTTAAATGTTGTTGCTCTGACCGGCCTAGTTGCAAATTCTTTCTGCAGAAATTGATCTTCTGGGAAGTCTGAGACAAAATTGTCCTGCGTCTCTTGCCCCAAGAAAAACAGCCCGCATTCTCTGGTCAGATAGGATTTGAGGTACGCAAACAGAACAAAGCAAAGCAACAACACAGTTTGGGAATGGTTGTTTAGTGTGGATTGAGATGGGATGATGGCATCTAGTTGGTTCCTTACTATTTGTATGTCTTTGCTGGGGATTGTAGCTGAGCAAAGCCCGACTGCCCTTAGACAGGAGGGACTGCTGGTGAGTTTAGTACCCGGAGTGTTCGATTGTTACTTCCAAACACTTTCACTTTCTTCCAGGCAGTAGTTTAGAGCTAGGTTTCCTTGAGAATTTTTTCAGGATCCTCTAGGCAGTGGTTCTCAACCTTCCTAATGCCTCAGCCCTTTCATACAGTTCCTCAGGTTGTGGTGACACCCCACCCCCACCCCCCCACCCCCCCGCCCAACCATAAAATGATTTTCGTTGCTACTTCAGCACTGTCATTTTGCTACTGTTATGAATCGGGGGACCCCTGTGAAAGGGTTGTTCAACCCCCAAAGGGGTCACGGACCCACAGATTGGGAACCGCTGCTCTAGAGGATTGCCTACCCTGTGCTCTTTGTTGTTCGCTGGGCTCCAGTTAAGCCAAGGAGAGAAAAGGATGTGGAAGCGTGCGTGCACCACATCCAGAAAAGGGGTCCTGGTTCTGAGACACCTTTCTTCCTCTCTGAAAGGGTCTCGAAGATGACCACCTGGCACTCCATTTTCAAAGTGCTGCGGGATCCCCCCCCCCCCCTACACACACACACACACGGTGAGAAAGGCAGGGCAAGCAGGCCAGCTCCCCATCTCATCCACATGAAAGGGTGTCGGAATGAGAAGCACCTGCCTGAGGCTGCTCCACCCTTCTTAGCTCTTGGGTCAAGGCAACCACCCTCTGCCCCTTGCTGCAGGCTAAAAGGTGGAAAGAGCCAGAATGAGTAAGAACTAGCTCACTATGACCACCTGTGGTGTTGGTTGAGCAATAAAACTCCGGTTGAAGGACCCTAGGGCTTTGTCTGTGGCTCGAGAAGCCAGACATTTCCCAGCCAAAGCTGAATGCACTTGTTTCTAGAGTAAGGTGACCAGATTTTAACATTGGTAAAGCAGGACACCATTGATCAAACTCTTATCCTGGCGAAATGGCAGCCGAAAACTGTATACCCTAGCTTGTCGTGCATTCTTTCCAAAAATCAGGACTTTTTTAAAACGCCGCGGGATGCAGGAAAAATTGTTAAAAATCGGGACTGTCCCGCCAAAAGCGGGACATCTGGTCACCTTATTCTAGAGGGACTGAAAGTCTAGCCAGGTCATCCACTTTTGTCTGCAGGTAATTGCTAGAGACCGGTTCTTTTAATGACAGTCACCTTACTGGTAAGGATGGAGCAGAAACCCTAAACTCTTGATAGTCAAATGGCCGCCGTGTACTAATATGACAGTGAACTCTGGCGTCAAGTCAAATCTCACTCCTCGGGTTTCGGAGACTGAATCTCTAGGGGAGCGCACTGCTCATCTCTCTCCCATGGAGCAGCTGGTGAGTTTGAACCACTGAACTTCCAGACAGCCCAAAGCTTGTCCGACTGCACCCTCAGAGCCCCTGAATCGGCACAGTAAGAAAACAAACACACGAGTTAACTTTTGTTGCATGTCCTTGTGCTCAGGCCCTGGCCCAAGCATCTGACGTGTTACATCCTAGGAAATCTGATGGTTCTCTTTCCAGGGCCAAGTGTGTTACTGGGCATTTGAAATTTACCACTGGATTTTCTCCACTCAGGAGCGGGCAGTGCCTCCTGAAAGGTTCAGAATTGTTTTTTAAGATTCACAATATATTTTATTCTGAGCAGCATCAAATTATGTTTGATATAGCATTACAAAGGCCCTGTGAGTCTAGCTAAGGCCAGGTGGAATTTCCTTGGAAGGTGGATCCAAATCCATATGCTGGTCCTACCCTTCCTACTACACGAAGCCTATTCAGGAGCTCTGTGGAGCGCTTGGCTCCTCTGTTAGGTCGCTCCAGGCGATTTTGAGGTGCCCCGAGTTCACAGCTGTCCTGATTCTCAGAATTGATCTGGTCCAGTCTTTTGATACTATAGACTTGTTGTCTTTAAATAGGTTGTGACTCAGTGATCCTAGAGGACGCAGCTGAACTGCTCCGTAGTTTCCACGGCCACCGTTGTTAGGGAAGCAGACAGCCACACCTTTCTTTCTCTCTGCCCCCCTCTTTTTAAAATCATTTTATTGGGGCTCATTCAATTCTTATCACAATCCACACATACATCAATTGTGCACAGCGCACTTATCCATTTGTTGCCCTCATCATTCTCAAAATTCGCTTTCCGCTTGGTTTCCTGGAATCAGCTCCTCATTTTCCTTTTTCCCCTCCCCCTCCCTCCCCGCTCCCCCCTCCCTCATGAACCCTTAATAATTTACAAATTATTATTTTATCTTATCTTATGCTTTTTAAAAAATCACTTTATTGGGGGCTCGTACAACTCTTATCACAATCCATGCATCAGTCCATCGCATCAAGCACATTTGTTGCCATCATTATTCTCAAAACATTTGCTTTCTACTTGAGCCCTTGGTATCAGCTCCTCATTTCCCCCCTCCCTCTCCACTCCCCTCGTGCAGTTGGTGAGGGTCAGCCACCAACCTTTCCATTAGTGATTGAACACTTGATGCTGCACCACCTAGCGTCCTTTGTGTGTGTGCCAGAGAAGGAAACATTAGCGCCATGGTGGCATGGTATCTCACACCTCGGGCAAGGTCAGCAGTTCAAGCCCACCAGCCTCTCTGCTGGAGAAGGATGAGGCTGTTTGCTCTGGTCAAGATTCACTGCCCGAGAACCCCTAGCAAGCAGTGCTCCTCTGTTCCGTGAAGGTCCTCAGGAGTCCGAATCAGCTCCAGGCCAAGTAGCCTTGGCTTTTTGATCAGAAGAAGAAAGACCCAGAGAAGTTAGGGTGGCCCCGGTTCAAGTCCACCGGTGAACATGGAAAGCCTGGTTCCCGGCGGCAGCTTTGCTGCGACACTAGCCCCTGACATGGTGAAATACACTTCTGGTTTACCTGAAAAGGTAACTGAGGCAGAGTTGGAAGGACTGACATAGATTTTCAGAGTTCACCAATTTGCCCGGACAGCCTGCCTGGACTGGTTAAGTGGATGGACAGGGTGTCAGCAAAGGGGATGTCAATAGATTTTGAAAACCAAGGCAGACTTTCGGAGATGGAGTGCTCTGTGGCCTGGTGTTTTTCTGTAGGTTCTGAAAAACCAGAATTTTAAACGGACGACAGAATTTTAACGAACCAGACAACTCTGACATTAAGTGGTAACGAAAGGTGTTCTCATTCCAAAAAAAAGATAAAATACCAATGGTGCAATATGCCCGGACCGTCTGCGTGTCCTTGGATTAAGTCTGCAAGCTCGGCTCTTAAGACTTTTGACGCAGCAGGCACATTTTAATGTTCGAGTCTGAACTACATTTAAAGTGAACCTTTCCCTCTGCTCCAGTGTGGCATTTCTATTAGGCGCTGCTGCTGTTTTTGATGTTCTTTTCTCTGCTGGCCATTTCTGGGCCAATAAGGCACCGGCTATAAGGGAAGGGAGGGTTGGACCAGTTTCGTTCATTGTCCATATTAATTGATGTTTAAAGGTTTGCCTAAAGAATGACTTTTCTCAAAGGCTTTGCCCTTAAAGGGTTAGCTGCTACTTACCGGCCCTCTTAATAATGATATTTCTTTTGCCTTATCACCACCAGCTGCAACATAGCTCAAATATTGATTTTTCTTTCTTTACAAATAGAACCCCACCCCACCCCGAGTATGAATTTTTAAACCAGAGCATAAAGAATGTGAATTTGCATTTGTTTGACAGTGCAATCTTGTAATTAGAGTTTTTCCTCTTGACTAGATACAGTGAAAGGGGCATAATTTAATTTTTATAGACTAGCCAATTTCTGCCCGTAGTAAAATATAGCTCTGTCAGTGAGCAAAATGTTACAGGTTCTCCTAAACCTTATTTAAAAGTTAAATGCAGTATATTGAGAGAAAGTTCATGGTCTGAATCAGTAACCTAATCGATCTCTTCACCCATCCTTTGCCAGATGCATTAATCTATTTGTCTGTTTTGCAATATAAGAGTGACTGATTTACTTGCCATGTTGCATCCACATTATGGCCGGATCAGTAAGGGCTGTTTTCCTTTTGGATTAGTTAGTGCTCATGATACG